GCGAGTGAGGGGAGCTGTGGGAGAAGCCATGAGACTCCTGGGAAAGGAGCCATTGTGATGGAGAGTCTCTCTCTGGGAGGGGGGGGGGAGGGTTTTGAGGTGTACGGGGGTGGGTCATGGGTGGAGCTTATGGGTGGTGGAGGTGGGGGCTGGAAGGAGGGTGTCAGATTTTTTACTATGTTGCCTAGGGCAGCATAAATTTTAAATACACTCCTGCATTTAGTGTATGTTATTTACCTGTAAAAGTCTCCCTTTTGTAGACTTTCAAAAGCCCTAAGACTGCTGCTAGGTATCGCCACCTTGGATGAGATGTCAGCAGCCCAAGCAGACTCAGAGCTGCTATTTAAGTGACACTCTATATAGTTTTCTTCCTAGATCCACTTCTGGCTGCTAGAAAAGATTATGTTTGGAGGTAAGAGAAGGGATGGAGGAGCTTGACCAGCACAGACAGTAGTTAGACAGAAAAAAGTAAAAACCCTAACAGAGAAAAAACTAATGGGGCTTTTCAAGGCACCATACGATATGAAAGTATAGAAATACACAACATGGAAACACTAGATAAAATGGAACATGTTTTATTATATTTTTATAAAAGAACCACTCAAGTGGTAAGAAAGACAACAGCCAAAATAGGCACATACATAATAAAGCAACAAAAACAAAATATATATCTATAAATGGCAACAGTGGGGAAAGGCTCTGGTCCGGGATGCGAAAGCATCGCGGGCAAGAGTCCAGAAGCCTCACTGATAACACTAGAGAAATAGATCTTCATTAAACAAGTAAGATACAAAAATGTTTTTCCATAAGGTTGAATAAGGAACTGTAAACAATCAATCAAGAAATCCAATGGCAACAGCGGGTAAAAGACTCCGGCCCGGGACGCAAAAGCATCACTGGCAATATATCTGGAGCCTCATCGACACCACTAGAGAAACTGATCGTCATTCAACAGGTGAAATAACAAAATGTTTTCCTTAGGATTGAATTAGAAAACTGGATAATCAATCAAGAGATTGACGCGTTTCGTGGGATATGACCCACTTCTTCAGGGAATTTAGGAAAAACAAAACAACAGTGCCGATGATGGTGCTCTGTTCAATAGTAACACCTGCTGTGGATGAAGATCAATATTGGTAGTAAATATAAGGAGAAAGCTTTGTTCAGCGGACACCATGGAGAAAACCACCAGTCCAAGAGTACCTCTGGTCCTATTTGGGAACCATCAATCCAGGAGTACCTCTGGTCAGATAGATAGCAGAAAGCCAAACCAATGTACATTCCAATTGTGTAAGGATGTGGTAACCAACCATCAAAATTTAATGATGAAACCCAAGCATTTTTGTATCTTACTTGTTTAATGACGATCTATTTCTCTAGTGTTATCAGTGAGGCTTCTGGACTCTTGCCTGTGATGCTTTCATATCCCAGGCCAGAGCCTCTCCCCACTGTTGCCATTTATAGATATAGATTTTGTTTTTGTTGCTTTAGTATGTATGTGCCTATTTTGGCTGTTGTCTTTCTTACCACTTGAGTGGTTCTTTTATAAAAATATAATAAAATGTTCCATTTTATCTAGTGTTTCCATGTTGTGTATTTCTATACTTTCATATGGTATGGTGCCTTGAAAAGTCCCATTAGTTTTTTCTCTGTTAGGGTTTTTGCTTTTTTCTGATGAAATAGCGGTGTGGCACCTATAAAACTACTGAATGTCTCTCCAGCTCCCATCCAATTTTCCTATCTAACAGTAGTTAGACACTCATAGAAGAGGAGAGAGATAAGACATGCAAAGAGTTAGAGGCCTGTGCTAGGAAACTGACTTTTTCTGGCGTGTCAATTCCTTAGCAATTTCAAAAGGTTGTTGCAAGAGAGAAAAATAAAAAAGTTTATGAAAAAGAAAACTGTAAAAATTCAAAATACTTGTGTGACTCTTGTAGTCCATGTGAATGTGGCAACCCGCTATTTGCGACAGCATGTAGAACAATACAGTTCTCAATGAGATGAGCAGGTTGAAGAATAGTACAGACTTTAGCTGCAGCCACCTATTGAGCAGCAGGAAGACATTTGAACTTCACATGAATGCAATAGCCTAGCATGGTTGCTACGGACAACAGCACAAGTAATGGCATACTTTAACAGGATACACAGTTCCAGAAAGCAGGTAGCACCACGCAACATCTCCTCTCTTGCTCATTTAGGTAGGGTTTTCAATCTCCCGTTAATTATTTACAGGTGGTTGCTATGGGTAATGGCTATGCAGTTTGTTATAAGGGAATACTGGATGAGGAATCCCACATGTAGCGCTACCCCTAAGGAGCCGCTAAATTTTGGGTCCCCTTGTTTCCTGCATGGCCAGGCAATATGCATTTTTGGCAAACACACAAAGTCAAGAATACAGTTCACAGGCTTGTTTTTGTTGTTTTATTTAGGTGAAAACAACGTCCCAATAGCTAGTGAGGAAATGCCATCCCACCTGACTGCTTTAAAGTGTCCCAGAGCAAGGGATTAGGTTAGCTGTAGAACTGCCCCCTTTGAAAGCATGCTGGATACTGCACCTGGCAGCCTTCTCCCTTATAGGCTTTGGAGGTGTAGAGGCACTCACTCTATCCCTTGTATCCTGCAGATTGGCATAAGACTGCTTGTTCAGGCCTCTTAGCTGTGCTAGTCTTCCATGCTGAGCAGGGTACCCTCTAAATAGGACTTGTAGTGCAGTCCCTCTGTCTAAACATCCTCTCCTTCCTCCACCTTAGCTCCAGCCTGGAGGCAAAACCCCCCTCCCCTTCCTGGGGTCCCCTCCCAGGCCTCACGATCCTTAACACTCCATCTTACACCAGATTGCCAGACTCCCCTGCTGGCTAAGCTCTCTCATATTTATGGGCCTATCTACCACACTGACAGACCCCCTGACTGGGATTAGTCAGACTCACCTAAATATGCAGATTGTGGTCTCCACCCCTCTGCCCACTAGCTTTTAGAATCTTCTGGAAGACTCCAGAACCAGGGAGAGGTGCCAGAGACCTGAACTGCAGAGCCCTCCAGCCTCACCTAAAGTAACCCAAACACACATGCTCATTTCAATACTGTGAGCCAAACAAAATTTAACTCTCTATTATCCCAAGATGGCGCTACACTAGATTTTTCTGTGCTTTAAATTTCAGTTTTTAGTTGTTTACAGGATCTCTTTAGTGTAATAAAAAACTGTCATCTGATTGCATTACAGCAGAGCAAAAACATGGCCATTGCTTTTTATCCCTGCCAATAGCTGATGAACCACATAGCCTTATGCAATCTGTGTATAAAAAACAGATAATTACACTCATTGCTTTGATTTGTATATCTTTCAAATTTACCTGTGTACAAAGTATGGCACTCATGAAATTGGTCTTGCATAACTAAAAAGGAGAATCTTAATGAGTTTGAAACATTTTGGGACATTCAGCTGAAATGATATTTGGAACTCTAAAGTAGTTAAAGAGGAATCAGACAGTTAATGCAGTTGGAAAAGACCCAGCGGAATTACAAATGAAACTGAATCTATTTAAACAAATGTAATTAAAGACTTCACTATCCTTAACTGTTTGAGTCATCAGCAATTAGTTTGTTGCATATTACGTCTTAATGAGAAGAAACAAAGAAGAAAAACTGATTACAGGAAAGCCAAAAATGATCAACATCAAGAAGGTCAGGAATATTTGGCTGGATACAGACAGGCTTATGGAACACATCGATCTGAAGAGAGAAGCTGGACAAACTTCTAGAAGACACAATTCCCGAATTGTAGCAGTTTCACAGGAAGTCTTACCTGCTCCCCGCTATATATTTATCTAACAGCATATGCTGTACTTGCTAACATTCATAATCCCAAAACCAATTTGTCTAGCCAAACTATAAATAATTTGTTAACATTGCCTGCTTTCAAGTCAAACTCAATTCAAAATCTCTACTACAGATAGTTTGGCTATTTTCATAACAAGATAGTTTTAAAGAGTATGTAAACCCAGCATTTCATATTTCTGATATGTGCCTATTGTACCATGTACTTGTATGAAAAAGTAGCCTGTTCTCTTTGTATTGATTCCTTTGTGTGAAATCTCTGGTGTTCCTGCCAGTCCCTCTGCTTTCCTATTAAACTCCAACCACACTAGGCATGAGAGCAGAACATAGTTCTCTAGCTGTGCTGGGAACTCAGCCTGCTCTCCTCCATTGATCAGACTTGTTCTGAACCACCCCCCTCCCCCATACATACACACACAGCCATTAACTAGGAAGATCTGTGTGCTGTTTTTTCTCCTCTCCTAGCTCTTATGTAGCTGAGAATAGAGGGTATGTGATCACTTGTATAAAAGGGGAAAAAGGGTATTTATAATGTTTTTTATATGTAAAAAAAAATTATTAAATGAATGGATTGTTTTACAAGGTGAGGGTTTACAATCATTTTAACCACTAGCCTACAGAGCACTTATACCCCCTTCCTGCCCAGGCCAATTTCCAGCTTTCAGCGCTGTTGCACTTTGAATGACAATTGTGCGGTCATACAACACTGTACCCATAAGACATTTTTATAATTTTTTTGTGACAGATAGAGCTTTATTTTGGTGGTATTTAATCACCTCTGGGTTTTTTATTTTTTCTTAAACAAACCAAAAACCACTGAAAATTCAGAAAAAAAAAGTTTTTTCTTAGTTTTTGTTATAAAATTTTGTAAATAAGTGATTTTTCTCCTTCACTGATGTGCGCTAATGAGGCTGCAGTGATGGGCGCTGATAGGCTGCACTGATGGACACTGATAAGTGGCACTGATGAGGAGGCACTGGTAGGTGGCACTGATGGGCATTGACAGGCATTACTGATGGGCACTGAAAGGCAGCACTCATATATGGCACTGATAGCTGGCACTGATAGGCGGCACTGACTGGTACTGATAGGCGGCACTGACTGGCACTGTTAGGTGGCACTGATAGGCAGCACTGACAGGCACTGATAGGCGGCACTGATGCACACTGATAGGCGTCACTGATTGGCATTGATAGGTGGTACTGACTGGCACTGATAGGTGGCACTGATTGGCAGCACTGATAGGTGGTACTGACTGGCACTGAAAGGAAGCTCAGATGGGCACTAATATGTGGCATTGGTGTGGCACTGATGGGCACTGAAATGTGGCACTGAAATGTGGCACTGGCAGGTGGCATGGATGAGCACTGACAGCTGGCACTGATGGACACTGACAGGTGGCACTGCTGGGACTAAACAGATCATCAGGGCACACTGATCATCATTGCTCTGATGATCTGTGTACATGTCCCCTCCGAGGAATGCCAATTACCGGCTCACCTCTCCTCACGAGCTGTCAGTGTGACAGCTTGTGGGGAGAGAAATGACGATAGCCAGCGTTTCCCTGTTTACATGTGATCAGCTGTGATTGGACACAGCTGATCACATGACTGAGCCGACATCTTCGGCTCTTTCCATGGATCGGTGATCCGCTGTGTCCGAGGGACACAGCGCAAAGCCAATCGCCATGCTGCGCGCTCCAGGAGCTGCGCATGCGCGGTGAGAATGGGAGGACGTCATATGACGTCCTCCCAGAATGAGAGAACCACCTTGCGTCCGTCATATTACTATATGGTGGGCGGGAGGCAGTTAAAGTGGAACATTACTCAAGAAAGGTGAGGGCTGCCAGTGTTGACTTCTCATTTTATGGATACTTGATGTCTGGCTATATTCTGACTTGCCTGATATACACAGTAGTTTCAGGTGTTTGACTTAGCTTATTGCAGCCAGAGGATTAGTATAACTGCCACATAGCTAGCATTTTCAAAAGGATTTAATCAATTACAGGGCCTATATTTATCTTAGCAATGATTTACTTGAGTTCTGAGTTCCATTATTACATGGCACAGGGAGAGTAGTTATTTGTCCCAGCACTGTTTTGAAATGCATAGCTCCTGCAGCCCCCTTCCCTCACTAGAACTGGTATCGCAGGCTGCCTATGGTTGCCACCTCATCCCTTTAAAACACATACCTTTAGAACACATATTAATACACAAGTTCTAAGGTTAATTTAAAGAAGATAAGGCACTAAGTCATTTTAATTACCTCCTTAATCAGCCACAGAACCTGTGTAATTAATATGTGTTCGGTTTTAAAGGGATGAGATGGCTGCTCTAAGGCTGGCCATACACTATACAATTTTCTGTCAGATTTCTGCCCAATTTCCTATAGATTTACCTTCAACTATGTAGTGCAAGAGCCTGCCTAATTGGATACAATTGAAAGTGTTGTTAGGTTTGACCTCCTATTATATGGTTTTTGGTAAATCTAAACCAAAAATCTCAAGAAAAGTGTATAATGTATAGCCAGCCTAAGGCTGCCAGTTGTCATTGTTTAGTCTAGGTTCACATCTATACATCTTCTGTTGCATTTTGCAGAAATGCATAGCAGTCCATTTAACATGATTTCCTATGGGACAAGTTCACATCTTCGTGTTTTCAGCCAGTGCATTTTTTGGAAAGGGTCAGGGCCTTTATTAAACACAAAATGTTGCATTTTGGTTCTATAGACTTCAATGGAGACAATGCAGAAAAGCATGTAGTGCGCTTTTTATGCATTTTTGACACAGCAAAATCACATGTGCAAAAATGTAAACCGCCCCCTGTTCTAACCAGAAAGAATTTTTTTTTTTAATATTTATTTTTTGTTTCTGAATATTATTAACAAAGTGATATATTTTGAGAAAGAAACTATATATATATACATATATATATATACACAAACTACTTTGTTAAATACTGCATATGCAGAGAAGGTTGTCCATTTGCTTTTCTACTCTATTCTCTAGGAGCTCTGCCAAAAACATGAGTGGCCCTGCCTGTTATAAATTAATGGCTAAATCTTCATGGTGTAATAGGCTCCGTAAATCCAACACTCACTTATGTCCATCTTCTTTGACAGCTACCAGCTGATGGCTCGTATACACAAACAATACAAGTATGCACTGAGACGTATGTCTCAGTACATGCATCTCAGTGTTCCTTTGCCTGCTGATATGTCTCCAATCCATACATTTTCTGTGTGATTGAACTTTCATTCACCACAGAGATGAATAGAAGATCTCGTGTATCTGCCAGCAGTTGTTGACCATAGTGAAAGCAGACAGATCTAATGGGGTGTCTAGCTCAAACTGCATGACACCCATGGATATGAAGTCCAGCAAAGGTGTTTGTAGAATGACAGGTGTTGTTATATCAAAGAAGGCATCCAAGATATCCCAACAGATAGACATGCTCCAAGCCCTGGTCTCACACAGGGACGAGCAACAAGGGAGGAAACTTGAAAGTTTCTATAGCTGCTCCCTTCATGAATAACAGATTCAAGATTTCTTATAAACTGTATGGCTACAAGCCACTGCTGTTTCTTAGGAAAAGGTGTAGCTTAAAGATGCTCAGGGTCTTCCAAACTGGTATGATGATAACTTTGAGTGTTTTTTGTCCATGTATCAATAGTGTATTACATTTATGAACTGAATTTATTTGTATATCCAGAAAATCATTATTTTACAAAGAAATATTTTTTGATTTACTGCAAACATGCACAGTGTGTATTTGCCACTAATAAGAAAGCCTAGCACTAGTTCTGCACCTGTGGATTGCATAAAATCTTGATGGCAAATTCTCTACTTGGAGATGTGCAAGAGGGTGTTCTTCCATTGAGTTACTGAGCTGACTATTTTATGTGTAAATCTTATTACATATTTAAAAAAGATGTGGAAAAAAAGATAATGCTCACACTTAGCATCTCTACCCCTGCTATACCACCTCTCATTAGCATAAGAAAACTTTGTGGAACACCATACAAACATACATTATCTGGGAGCCAGGCTGTAGAGGAGCACTTAGCCTTTCTTGTTTTCCACAGCTTGTAATTGAGAGCTCAGTCTTAATGAAGGCATTTCAGCCTCTCTCCAGGAGCTTTACTGCTCTATTTTTGCATAGGTCATGAGCAAAGCCTGAGTCCCACGTTTGTTGCCCTTTTGCTAATATAACACAGCTTGTTTTGTCTAGCATTACAGACAATTCAAGTTTTCCGCATAGGTTCAAGCTCAGCACAGCATGCTAATACATTGTAAATCAGTCAGGCTTATACTGACCTTGTTTAAGATTTGTAGTCTTTTCCCTTATTTGTTCAAATCCTTATCACTCTCTGTATTTCTCTAAAATCTCTGCTCACAAAGAGGTAAAGGTAGGTTGCTGAAATCTTAGCTTCACTGGAGATGCTAGGCAGAAAAGAGTCTCCATCTGATTTGGCCATACTTTCTTATTTTGGCCTGATTTTCTTTGACACTATGCCTAAGACTGGCCATATACAGTTAGTATTTAAAAAAAACTAACAGTTGTCCCTCTATGACTAAGACTGGCCATACACGGTTAGTATTTATAAAAACAAACAGTTTCCTTTATATTACTAAGGCTCGCCAATCTACTAGATTATATGAGAGGTTTTGTATTGCAGCATAAGGAGTTTGTTGTTATAATGTAGCTTTTTTTTTTTTACAGTCACTGCACAACATTTGTGACTCTAATGTTTATTTCATGATAAAACCTGCCTCATCTTTCCTTTTTATATTGCAGCCTAACCAAGCATCTTACATACTGTCAAGTCACTGTACAATATTTGTGTTTTTTGTCTCTCAACCCACTCTATTTATAGATAAAACCTGTCTTGTCTCTTCCTCTTACATTATAGTCTTATGAAGCTGCTTGCATACTATCCTGCCACCATACAATATTTGTGGTCATTTTCTCACAAAATATACACTGTGATTTCTGTTTCAAGAAATAGTATGCCTAATTTCTCCTATCCCTTCTATATTGCTGCCTAAACAAGCTGCTTATCTACTGCCCAGCTAATATTTGTGGCTAATGTTTCTCAGAAAATACAATTTAATTTCATTTTCACAATAATACTTGCTCCATCTTTTCTTTTTATTTTGTCTACTAACAGTCCTAACCAGATACTGCCCAGCCACTGAACAGTGCTTGTGGCTACTGTCAATCATATAATACACTCTAAAGTTTATTGCAAGGTAAAACATTCTTCATCTCTCCATCTTATATTGCAGCCCAACAAAGTTGCCTACATACTGTGCAACCAGTGTACCATATTTGTGGCTATTGTCTTTCAAATAATATACTCTAATTTATAGTGCAATATGAAATCTGACTATCTCTCCCTCTTATGTTGTGGCATAACCAAGATGCTTACATACTATCCTGCCACTGATCAGTATTTCTGACTATTGTCTTTCAGATTATACACTCTAATTTTTATTGCAAGATAAAAGCTGCCATGCCTTTTTCTATTTGCTGCCTATTCAAGTGCTCAGCACTTTTCTGACACTTGCCAATTTCTACCAAACACGTACCTCAAGTCTTTATTTTGAATATTTCGAGAATAATTGGGGATACAGGGATCTGTGGCCTTTTTGAGAATGTGGAGTTCTGATTTGTAAGTGTTTTTGTGCACTTTATTTTGATAAAACATTTAAGACAATGTAGTGTGGTGCTGAGAAAAAGGCAGTTCGCAGACTATACTATTAAACGGTTTTCCCACTGGCCAATTTGTAAGAAGTTAAGAATTAGAAAAGACCCTTACTGTTTTTGGAAGGCTCATTAATCCAAAGAGCATTTATAAAAAAGTATTTCAAATAAGTTTGACAATCATTTTACTTAATTCTTTGGGTACCCTTACATTAGGAGCACAATTGTGAATTTGTGAGTCTCCTCAGTTGTCCTCTGCTGCCCTGAAAAACTGAAGTATAAGGATCTTACCACATGGGCGATTCTGTACTTAATAACACTTTGCCAGTGACAGAATCTATAAAATTCAGCTTACAGTACAGTCCTGTGGCATTGCTCTGTCACTATCCAACCTAGCATTTTGTATCCCCTTACTTGCATTTGACTTTTAGCAGCTTTTCCAGTAGAGGCAGAGCAACCAGTGATTATTAAATTGATTTTTAGTGATTTTGTCATTGGTGAAGTGTTGCCATTGACTGGATTCCCCGTCTAACATGTCCTGAAGAGATTACAGTTCAAAACCCTTGCTGATACTGGAAAGTCAACATCTAGTGCATTCTTTTTTGCTGTAAGAGCTGTGAAGCTTTCATGCAATGCATGTCCTCTTAGGATATGCACAATTATTGTTTTAATTATTAACTCCTGCACAGACTGATTGCCTATTTTACAGCTTGGACAGCTCAAACTCTATATTAGCAGATGTGCTAAATGCTGATGATAGCAGACTTCACAAAACTCACTCTGATGTGCTTTTGCAAAGTGCTGTCAGTCACAACAATACAAAAATAGAGCGCATAGACATTT